TTCAAGGAAATGGCTCATACAATTGTGGAGGCTGGCAAGTCCTAAATCCATGGGTCAGGTGTTAAGCTTGAGGTTTCTCCTGACTCACGTGGTTGCAGGGGCTGACGAACCCAAAATCTGCAGGTCAGGTGGCAGGCTGCTGGCTTACAGGGTTGTAGGAGCTGGCAAATCCAAAGTCTGCAGGTCAGGCAGTTGGCTGAAGGCTTCTCTAAGAACCAGAGGTCAGACCACAAGATGCGTGTAGGACTGAGAGAGAGAGAGAGAGGGCCAGCTTTGCCAGAACATCCATATATATTGGATACACACCTGCAAGGAAACTCCCCTTCCAACTGATTGGCTGTTCACATCAGATCACAAAATGGAAGATGATTACATAATATCTGCCAAACCAGAGATTCATGGCCTAGCCAAGTTGACACATAACATTAACCAACATACCGTCTGTTTGAGGTAGTATTTTTCAATTGATCTCCATTGTACTCTCATTTCTATAAGAGTAAAAGTTCATTTTAATTATGTAGAAAGTAGGCAGAAGACTTCAATCCCAAATCCTCTTTTCCTAACGCAACACTAAAACCTCAAAAACTAGTATACAGTGATTACCATTTCTTTTTTCTATTCAAGTCCCTGTTTCTACATTTTAATTTCCCACCCATCATGGGACAGTTTCTCTAGCCATCTTTCCTTCTTAAACCTAAGACTTTGTTTAAACCCCCAGATCATTTACAGTCCTCCCATTCAATTCCTAATCCAAAGCCTATTCAAAAAGTAGTCATGACTCAGGTCATGGTCTAACCCTTCTGGGATTAGGCAATCAGATGAGTCTGTATCTGCAAAACTAGAGTGACTCAATTATCTTGCAAAAGTTTACTCACCACGGATTCACAATATAACCATTTTAACCATCCAAGCTGGATTAGCATACTGTCTCTGCAATGTTAGAAACCCCAGTTCAAAATGGTTGAAACAATAAGGAGGTTTGTTATTTCCTATACCATGGAGTCTGAGTAGGGAGGGCAGCTCCAGATGCAAGATGTCCAGACTCTGCATCTGCTTCTCTGTGATTTTCTTGTTCTAGCTCCCCTCAGACTTTGGATTCGTCCTCAGGCTGGTTGCTAGATGGCTGCAGTCATGCCCGGCATCACATCCAGGCATGACAGTGCCCAGTGGGAGAAGAGGAATGTCATTTCCTTTGTCCCCTTTTGAGAGCAAAGAGTACTTCCTCCAGAAAACTTCTGGAAGATTCCCCTTCACCTCTTGCCCAGAATTGGGTCACATGCCCATTCCTAAAATAAGCACCTACAAGTATGGAGCCACCATGATTGACTTAGACCAAAGAAGATTGTGGTTTTGCCATCAAAGAAAAAGAAAAATATGACTTTGGGATAGACAATTAAGCAAACACGGACTAATAAGACTCCAGTCTGCTGGAATTCCGGAAAAGCAGCCCTTTCTATCTGAGATAACGAACACTTAATTGATGAATAAACTCAGCAAACATTTATTGAGCGACTTCTGTGAGCTAGGATTGGGGATGCAAATATGAATACAATATGGTCTTGGTGTGGTGGTGTTCAGTCTAGCAGAGGATAAGCACCAAGCAATTTTCTAATTTTAACTGGCTCCTCAAGTAGCCTTCCTATAAACAGAGAATGCGCTTTTCAACTGTGATGAATTTCACATTCTGGCCTTCTTGCTCTCTCTCTCTCCCTTCCTTTTCTCACCATTCATTCAACAAAAACTTATTAAGTGTATACTCTTTGCTAGGTACCATGCTCTGGAGTCACGTCTTCAGAGAGCTTATATTCCAGCTTTTTATTTGATAATTACATTTCTTGATGTAAACGAATAATCATTGCTTTCTCATTTTCACATGTATTGTGATTTTGGTTATTGTCCTCAAGAAAGCAGCCACTTCTGGGCCTATGGACCTGGGACCACCATATTTTGGGCCATATTTTGGCCAGCTCACTTCCCGAAATGATGCTTCTGTCATAACCACAATAGGAACCAACAGAGGTTTTTAAAAATTTTTAATTTTTTATGGTGTTTTTAGGGTAAAAGTCTACAGAGTAAATTAGTTTCTCATTAAGCAATCAATACACAAATTGTCTTGTGACATTGGTTGCCAATGCCATGATGTGTCAACACTCTTGCCTTCTCCACCTCAGGTTCCCCATTTTCACTCATCCAGTTTTTCTGTCCCTTCCTGCCTTCTCATCTTTGCTTTTGGGCAGGTGTGCCCATTGGTCACGTATTCAAGATTGAACTATGAAGCACGTTCCTCACGTGTGTTATTGTTTGTTTTATAGACCTGTCTAATGTTTGGCTGAAGGGTGAACTTTGGGAGTGACTTCAGTTTTGAGTTAAAAGGGTTTCCGGGGGCCATATTCTCGGGGCCAACAGAGGTTTTTAAGTGGTGCAATGATATGATTAGCATTAGCCTGTCTCAGAGAAGTTTAACTTTAAAACAAAACACATATTAAAAAAAAAAAAAGCTCAATCAGTGCACAGAAGAACTTGGTTTTGACTTCATTTCTAAATGACATAGAGGAGCTCTGGGTCTGTGTTTCGTCTCTGACCTCGGTGGGTGCTGTACCCATTTTCATGTTGCCTCTGTAGGATGAGCAGCTTCTTTCACTCCTAAAATGACTTGTTTTACACCCTGCTTTTAGCCCACTTACAAATCAAGTTCTTTGGGACATCCTTCTGGGAGAATTTAAGGCCCCCAAGTGCAAACATCAGCATCAAGTCAGTTTTGCTTCCAGTCCTTCTCTGAGCTGAGCTCCAGTTTTAGCAACTAGACTTCGCCTTAAACCCCGGTCAAGGAGCCAGATGGTTGTCCTAGATGTTAGGCCAGAGTGTTGATTTCTAACCTGCCTTCATTGGCTTTGTTAGCTGGCCCAGGGGCAGGAAGCCTGCTTCTTGAGCTCCAGCTGCCTTGGGTGGCAGGGGTGGGAGGGAGCTCTCCTATCTTCTGCCAAGCAGCCATGAAACAGACTGGGGTCTCCAGACTAAGCCCCCATTACTCTATTTTTTAAAATCCTTCCAATGTGTTCATTATCAGGGTCCTTCCAAGTCCCCCATCTCTGCTGGGTCTGTGACAGTCCTTTTCTTGGTGATCTGTCTCTCTATCTCAGATTCCACCAATTTCAGCCTCATGAAGGTACTAAAGGCTGTCAGATGTCAGCTCCTTCCCAGCTACAAATGTACTTGTATCTATACCCATATCCTCTCTTCACTTCTTTCTCAGGAAGAGATAGCTGTCCTTCTGTCTGGGGTTGATTTTTCTCCTTCTATAGTAGGATTTCTCCTGTCTCCTCACCTGCTCATTCTCCTTAGCCTTTGTATAAGGTCCAGTCTCTCTCTTGAGCCTGTCTCCCACCTTCCTAGTTTCACCCTTTCTCTTTCACAGCCAAGTTTAAGAGAGTAATCTCCACCTCCTTGCCTCATATTCACTCTGCAGCCCCTATAAGCCAGAGTCCACCCATGCTAGTCTGTTGGAACTTCTCCTGTCTTCATTGTACTTTTCTGCCATATTTCTGCCTTTACTTTTTGATCACTACTCTCTTCCCATCTCTTGAAGTGGGTTCTTCTTGGGCTTTGCTTCTGGCCATCAGTGTATTCCCAAGGTTGTGTTTTGGCTCTCTTCTTTCTCACCCTGGGCAGTCTCCTACACCTATATGGCTTTAACTACCACCTATATTTGGACAGGAGCCCTAGTGGCACAGTGGTTAAGAGCTTGGCTGCTAACCAAGAGGTTGGCAATTCAAATTCACCAGCTGCTCCTGGGAAACCCCATGGAACAGTCCTGCTCCATCCTATAGGGGCACTATGAGTCAGAATCGACTCCACGGCAACAGGTTTGGTTTTTTTAAATATAAATTCAGCCAACTCCCAAATCCTCTCCACGTCTCCCCACTCCAAATATGCACGTCAATTTTAATGCACTATTAATTTTCTTATCTTGTTTATTGTCTTCTCTCCCATGAGAATGTAACTTCCATGAGGACAGGGATTTCGGTCTGTTTTGTGCAGAACTGTTGGCCCAACACCTGAAATCCATCTTTAAGCTCAATATGTCAACATCATTTTCCTCTGCTCCTACCTCCACATTTGCTGTGCTCTTGTATTCGTTTAGTGAAATAAAACACTTATGTACTAATGGTCTTTTCAATCACCTCATATGCATGCAAAAGCTGGGCAATGATAAAATGAGACAGAAGAATTGATGTATTTGAATTGCGGTGTTGGTGGAGAAAGGAGCACTGCTGACGCAGTGGTTAAGTACTCAGCTGCTAACCAAAAGGTTAGCGGTTCAAACCCACCAGCTGCTCCACAGGAGAAAGGTGTGTCAATCTGCTTTCCTAAAGACTACAGCCTTGGAAACCCTATGGAACAGTTCTACTCTGTCCTGTAGGGTCACTATGAGTTGGAATTGACTTGACAGCTACAGGTTTGGGTTTGGCTGGCGAAGGATATTGAATAACCATAGACTGCCAGAAGAATGAAAAAGTGAGTTTTAGAAGAAACACAACTGGAATGCTCCTTAGAAGTGAGGATAGGGAGACATTGCCTTGCTTACTTTTAGACAATTGCTAGAAAAGGACATCATATTTGGTAAAGCAGAAGGTCAGTGAAAATGAAGAAAACACTCAGTGAGATGGATTGACAGAACAGCCTCAACAATGGGCTCAAATATATTGTTATGGATTGAATTGTGTTACCCAAAAATATGTGTTGTGAATCCTACTATACCTGCGGTTATAATCCCATTTGGGAATACAGTTTTCTTTGCATGTTAATGAGGCAGTATTAGTAAGAAGTGTTTTAAGTCAATCTCTTTTGAGATGTAAAAGAATAGATTAAGCAAGCAAGCAGAGATAGGGAAAGAGATGCCAAATCACATGAAGATCGCTGAGGAAGAGAAGCTGAAAACAGACAAGGACCTTCCTCCAGAGCCCACAGAGAGAGAAAGCTTCCCTTAGAGCTGGCACCCTGAATTTGAATTCTAGCCTCCTAAACTATGAGAAAATAAATTTCTGTTTGTGAAAGCCACCCACTTGTGGTATTTGTTTTACCAGTACTAGATAACTAAGATCATGGAGATAGTGCAGAACCGGGCAATGCTTTGTTCTGTTATACGTAAGATTGCCATGAGTCGAAGCCAACTTGAAGGCAACTAACAACTTAACAACTACTGGTCCCTTTGGCTGGAAACCTGAATGTTATCTTCAACTCCTCCCTCTCCATCATCCCTCACTGGAAAAGCAGTCGCTAAAGCCTGCCCCATCTAGTGCTCTCCAGAACCCATCTATTCTCTCGGCCCCTGGCTTGTCACTACTCTAGTTTGGGCTTCCCCTTCAGTTCTTGCCTGGACCATTACAAAAGTTTTCATTTTAGGCTGCTCCCAGCTTGTCCTCCTCACCAATGTAAGGGTGATTTTTCTTTATTAAAATACACATGTTGATCTCCTTGTCCACAAAATTGGGACCATACTGTATAATCAATCTTATGTCCATTCTTCCCCCATGTTAATCTTGCAAGCAGTGTCCTGTATGTTCTTTGAAAACTCTTTTCACAGCTCAACTGTCTATGGTATGGGTAAACCACAATTTACTCTATCATGTCCTTAATCAGTTAGGTTGTTTCTAGGTTTTTTGGTCTTATAGATAATGCTGTGATGACCACTATTATATATCTTTGTATGCATCTTTATGGTCCTTGCAAAATACCAATCTGATCACATCACTTTCTTGCTTAAAATCCTCCCTGTCATTGAAGGACAATGTTCTTAAGCCTCACTATGGCCGATAAGGACCTGCTTACTTTCCTAGTGTCATCTCTCACCCACAACCCAAAAGCTAGCTTTTCCTCTACTTGCAGCTCCCCAAAGTAAACCACCTTGATGTCTTTGCCCATGCTTCTTTGTGTCTGTAAAGCCCTCTCCCCTCTGTCTTCTCAGAAAAGTCCACTGTTGAAACCCTCATCATTCCTTAATTATAGTGATGCCCAAAAATGATATCCAGTGAAACCAGAGTGGCCTTTAGATCCACCAACGGATAAAATTTCCAAGCTGCTTTGGATTTACCAGGGCCTGGCCCAGCCCGGCCTACCAGCGCATCCTCAGAGCTTTCAGATTTAGAAGCAATTCCTAGGCACGAGGTTAGGCATGAAGATGAAGTCAGGATAGTGGAGCCAGGGCTAGGCCTGGCCTGCTCTTTCTCGGCAGGCTGCAGTACTGCCCAGCAGCAGGGAAACTCATTTGCAGAGTAGAGTGGCCAGTTATCCTTCTCCCCCAAACCACAGGAGTACCTCTTGGCAGTCTACATAGCGGGTAGCAAACTATGGCTCCCAGGCCAAATGTGGCTGGCTGTCAGCTGCCCTCCCATGAACTAAGTGGTATTTACGTTTTTAAAGCGTTCAAAAATAATCAAGAGAATACTTCACGACATGTGAAATTTATATGAAATTCAAATCTCGCTGTCCATAAATAAAGTTGTATTGGATCATAGCCATACTCACTTATGTACTGTCCTCAGATGCTTTTGTGATACAATGACAGAGTAGCTGCCACAGAGGGTGTATGGCCTGTGAGCTTACAATATTCACTCTCTGGCTCTTTACAAAAGTTTGCTGAGCCCTGGCCTAGGTGGTGCTGCAGAGGGGGCAGGAGGGTGGGAGACAGACTGGAAAAGCAGTCTGACGAGATGAGAAGGTTTCAAGGCGAAGGTTGTTCATGGTGCCAAACGTGGCAGTGAGAACCAGATGTAGAGGCTCAACAAAGATGAGCCTCTCTAGTCAACTCTTTGAAAACGACTATGTATGTAAGAGACAGAATTTGATTAAAAAACAACTTCACATTTTATTTTATGGAGTATGGTCATCTGTTGAGCTGAAAGCATTGTGCATAAGAGATGGCTGTTCCAATACAGATTCCAAATAAAAGGCCAAACACCCCCTGCCCTACATGGCACAGTGAGCGCTTTCAATGACTAGCTCATCATTCTGTACACAGACATTTCATTTATCAGAGGTGAAGGTGCTTAACAGCACTGGTAACTACAAATTCTGCAGACAGTATGAGATTTTTATTAAATTGGTGTAGTGTATACTTAAAACTACATATTCACAAAAAGAAGTTAGAGAAAGAGAAATTAAAACGCATTCTAAGTAATCTCTTTCCTGGCAAACTGAGTTCAGTTCAGGTCTTCTTTCCCTCAGAATGCAAAAAAGTCATCCAGAAGGCAACCCCACTATCCCACCGCTGTTCAGTCATAAATGACTAGATGTTAGAAAGTTTCCTTTGAAGGAGAATGCACTTATTTTAAAGTTAGTAGCACATTTAATGTATAATCTAAAGTTAGAAAAGCCACTTTTTTGAAGGCACAGTTTGTATCCAGCTCACTTGTGGAAATCAAATCTGTGTTATGGACCACACCTGGCCAGAGGGAGCCCATCCCACAGCCAAACCCAGCCCTGGCACCTTTGTTGAGTGTCTCCAGAGATGTGTCTAGGCTAGAGGGTAGAATGTTTTCTTTTTGATCACAATCACCATGTGAAAAGACTTTTTGAAAACGCAAGGAACTTTGCTTTATAAAGTAGCATCAGTAACCAGTCTTTTGTGGCACGAGAGCAGGGTGAAGATACAGCAGAAATAAGATGGTGGGCTACTGTAGCTTAAAGATAGTCCCTCGGCCAAGGCTTTAGAACAAGAACAAAAACAAAATACATGAGCCCTTCAGCATGTCAGAGGAAGACAAATTTCTAGAAAAGTGAGGGCATTTCTCCTTCCATATGCTTAGGGCAAAAAGGGGGGGATGCTGGCTTCATCAGTGCAACAAAAGACAGGGGCGGTACATAAAATCCGATGTTACTCTGCTTCAAGTCAGTTAAATCACGAATCCAATCATGCAAACTGTCCACGTTCCTCAGGAAGGTGGCTGAAGAGATTGTTTGGCAATGGTCTTTAAGTACATTTATTTGAAAAAATAAGTTTAGGCATCTTGACTAATTTCCAGAATCTAGGCCTAATGATAAGGAGAAACAAGTTATTATGACATAAATACGGGTGTTAGAGAGGAAAAATGGGAATGAATGGAAATGCGCACATGGCTGCTCTTCACTCTGGTTTCAGGTATTTGAGCGGTGTTTGCAGTGAAAGCCCTCTGAGTTAGTTGTTTGGGCTGGGTGTATATTGAAAATGCTCCTTTTATCAGCTGCCAAGAAAATAATATTGAGCTCATCTGATGAGCAAGCCTCTAAACTGATTACCTGGGATGTTCATGATGAGCATGGATCAGACTCCCTGAAGTGGCTGGGACATGATCGGTGTTACAGACAGCTAGCTGTGTTTGCCACTGGAGGCTGTCAGTACTTTAAGGAAGGTCCTGCATCATGGGATGAGCCTTTTATAAATAAACTGCTACACAGACACTAGTGAGTTGCTGCAGTACTTTAAAGAGGTTTCTTTTGCCGTAAGGGACTCCTGTGCATAGGCTGTAGGGCAGAGGAAATTATCACACAATGACAGAGGTCACCAAGGCCAGTACTATGTTATACGGTGAAAGGCACTGTTGTTTTAAACTGTTTCCTGACCTGTCACATTATCAAAATCAGCCCGTCTCACCATCTTTAAAATAATTAATTTGCTCTTAAAAAAGGCAAGGGCCAAAAAAGACAAGGGTCTTGTGGCTTCGTTTCATTGGAGGTCCCAACATAAAGAAATTCATTTTATTATAGAAATCAATTTTAAATGCTTTTAAATGATCTTTTTTGTAAGATGAAAGGAGAGAACAAGCTGGATCCACTAAAATGATCACGTGTATGCATTTAAGCCAAATCCTATACAAAGTCAGCATCATTTGTGGAACTCCAAGTTCCAGTCCTGAAACTGGGTGACAGAGAACAAAGGGGTGAGTCTAGTCACCTTGTCTCAAATCCCATCCTCTGCAAGAGGCATGGGTGGGGATCCTGGATAAGTCAGGAGAGACCCCAGGTACTAAATAAACACCTGTCACACCCCAGGTCTGGTCAATAGGGTGACTTCAAGAGGCTTGGGGTGCTTGGTGGAGGGAGACCCCTGCTTGGCCATTAAGTTCCAAATCACGTCTATGTGATCCTCTGTTCCCACAAATTCTACAGGGCCATGCAGTCGGTCAGCCAGGCAGCCTTGAGCCGGTTCCTAACCACACAGGGAGAGCTAGAGATGACCACATGGGGTCCAGATGGCACATGAGCCGTGCTGCTTTGAGCCCTCCTACTGAAACCCATGTCAAAGATGGAGGGGCGGTGGCGGAAGAAAGGGCAGCTATCTAAAACAGCAAAGAATGCTGCCACACTCCACTCCTGAATCTGACGGATTCTTTTCCAGGGAGCTGAAAATCACAATTTGCTCAGTGTGGAAGGGGATGATCGCTGCTCAACAAAGGTGTGGGAAGACCCCCTCCCCCACTCCTGCTCACATGGCCCCTCAGCACTCTGATTCAAGGGAAGGCTGAGGAATGAGAGCTACAGCAAACAGAGAAAGAGAGGTGGTGGGTCCAAGATTGAAATTCTGCCCACTTTCCATATGCTCATTAAAGTGAGAAATGCAACTCTTTCTTCTCATTCCAGTAATCAAAGGCCCGAGATATTCGGCGCCAGGCTACTGCGCTCGGATCAAAACACTAAGTATTCAGCTGAAGGAACTTAGAGAGATGCTGACCCCAAGAAAAAGTGGGACACATGCTTCCTCAGAACAACAAAATCTCTTACAACCCACTCTGGTACAACATTTGCAAACACACAGTAAATTACATACTAAAATAGGAGGTGAAATTTCTTGTACATTTGAAAAAGACTTTTCGAATCTCTTCATCACAATGGAGTAGAAAACCTCCGGCTTTAAAGTTGCCGGACTTTCTTTTCTGTGCTTTTTATATTAACTCCTAACTTGTCCACTTTGGTCGTGAGCTGGTCCAGGATGTCATCTTGCTCCTCGAGCTCCATCTGCATCCCCAAGGCTATGTCCTTTAGGCGGCCCAGTCCCACGGACAGTTCATCTGTGGGAGAAGGAACAACATGCAGGTCTGACCACACAGAGGCACAGCCTCTGCACTGCTGCATGGTCCCTTTCCAGGTCTCGGCAGCATTTAGATTACTGGGTCTGCTTTGTCATAAGACAGGCTGTGGTTACATTTTCCAAAATATGTGCAAGTTAAAAGAAAACCTGTTTACTCAATAAAAAGCAATATGTGCTTAATGTAGAACCTGCCTCCCTCCCCCAAAGAAAACCACTGTTAAGGCTGGTGGTTTGAACCTGCCCAGTGGCACTGTGGAAGAAAGGACTGGAGATCTACTTCTGTAAAGATTACAGCCAAGAAAACCTTATGAAGCAGTTCTACTCTGTAAGATGTGGAGTTGCCATGAGTTGGAATAGACTTAGTGGCAATGGGTTTGTTTTTTTTTTTTTTGGTCCTCCCAGTTTTTCCAGAAATACATACAGATACACACAGTTTTTCAGCTGCCTTTTAACCTTTCAGTAGGTTGCTGCAAATTTTAAGATCACTTAGTACCTGTTATGGATTGAATTGTGTTCTCCACAAATGTGTGTCAACTTGGCTAGGCCATGATTCCCAGTATTGTGTGATTGTCCACTATTTTGTGATCTGATGTGAATTTCCTGTGTGTTACAAATCCTATCTCTATGATGTTAATATGAGCTCTGGTGACAAAGTGGTTAAGAGCTCAGGCTGCTAACCAAAAGGTCAGTAATTCCAATCCATCGGCCGCTCCTTGGAAGCCCAATGGGACAGTTCTACTCTGTCCTATAGGGTCACTATGAGTCAGAATCGACTTGAAGGCACAGAACAGAACAACAGAACGTGATGTTAATGAGGCAGGATAAGAGGCAGTTATGTTAATGAGGCAGGACTCAATCTACAGGATTAGGTTGTATCTTGAGTCTCTTTTGAGATTTAAGAGACAATAGAACAGACAGGAAAGGGACCTCCTACCACCAAGAAAGCAGAGTATGTCCTTTGGACCTGGAGTCCCCATGCTGAGGAACTCTTAGATTCAGGGGAAGACTGATGACAAGGACCTTCCCCCAGAACCAACAGAACCTGGGAACTGGCACCCTGAATTCGGACTTCTAACCTCATAAACTGTGAGAGAATAAACTTCTGTTTGTTAAAGCCATCCACTTGTGGTATTTCTGTTATAGCAGCACTGGATAACTAAGACCGTAACCAAGGAAAAGACATGCAGAGGAACCTGGAAAACCTTTCCAGACCCAATGGGGGAGCACCTGGAGAATTTGCTGGTCACCCCAGACAGATCTGCTGGCCTGCTTTTAAGGAACAAAAACCCCACCTCAGCGGACAGAACTCAACAGTGCCTCCTTTCCTTTCTTCCACCTCCAGCTCCCTAAGCTAATCAAACACAAATCCATTGATGCAGATGTGGGGATCTCTGAGAGGTAGGCCTGGGAAGCCCTGTCCAGCTGGACTCCCTAACATCCAGGCTGCTCCAGCCCTAGGCCCACCTCTGGGTAAGGCTGCACACCCCCAGCCCTCTCTAAGGGTGGCAGGAGAAGGAGGGAGTCCATCCTTGCCCTGGTGCCTGGGGTGCTCTGCCAGAACACACATGTACTGCAGACATGTCCACACATGTACTGCAGATATGCCCAATGGACCCAAATGCTATGGAAACCTTTATCTATGCTATTAAAAGTCTCACTTCCTCCATATTCATTCACTCGTTGCTGCCACTTCCCAGACCACAAACACATCAGTGCTTTGGAAATGCAAGGTGACAATAGTTAGCTCACATTTCCCACAACTTACTGGTACCAGTTGCCGTGCAGTCGACTCTGACTCATGGAGAACCCCTGTGTGTCAGAGCAGAACTGTGCTACGTGCGTTTTCATGGCTGATTTTTTTGGAAGGAGATCACCAAGCATTTCTTCTGAGGTGCCTCTGGGTTGATCTGAACCTTCAACCTTCCAGTTAGCAGTTGAGCGCTTAACTATTTGCACCACCCAAGAAACTCGTACTAACAGCAGCATGCCATAGGGAAGAGAGAAGAGATGGTGCTTTGTAAGTCTTCTTAATTGCTACGTTAAAGATAAAAGATTATACCAAAAAAAAAAAAAGGGTCAGAATACACAAATACTCAGCACTAGCACCAGATATCTAAACAGAATTGGTTATTTTTTAAAATGGTCTTTGGGTTGATGCTTTTTGGATTTACTGACACCTGTGCCCCTGTATAAGCAGTGCTGGTGGCACAGTGGTTAAGTCTTGGCTGCTAACCAAAAGGTCAGCAGTTAGCCCATCAGCCGTGCCACAGGAGAAAGATATCGCAGCCTGCTTCTGTAAAGACTTACAGCCTTGGAAACCCTATGGGGCAGTTCTACCCTGTCCTACAGGGACACTATGAGTTGAAACCGACTTGACAGCAATGGCTTTGGCTTTTTTGGTTTGTGTAATGGACTAAATTGTGTTCCCCAAAAATATGTGATGTCAACTTGGCTAGGCCATGATTCCCAATATTGTGTGACTGCCCACAATTTTGTCATCTGATGTGATTTTCCATTGTGTTGTAAATCCTACCTCTATGATGTTAACAAGGCAGGATTAGCGGCAGTTGTGTTAATGAGGCAGTACTCAACCTACAAGATTAGGTTGTGTCTTAAGTCAATCTCTTTTGAGATATAAAAGACAGAAGCTAGCAGAGACACATGGGGACCTCATACCACCAAGAAACAACAGCCAGGAGAACAGTGCATCCTTTGGACCCGAGGTCCCTGTGCCGAGAAGCTCCTAGACCAGGGGAAGACTGATGACAAGGATCTTCCCCCAGAGCCAACAGAGAGAAAAAGCCTTCCTCTGGAGCTGGCACCCTGACTTTAGACTTCTAGCCTTCTAGACTGTGACAGAATAAATTTCTCGTTGTTAAAGCCTATCCACTAGATGACTAAGATAGTTTCTGACCCTGTATTCCACGGAGTGTAAACCTGTAAGGTCATACAAGGCCTTGGAAGAGAACAAAGCAGAGGCAGACAGCTTCACGGACATATGGAATAAGATAAAGTGAAGCTGCCAGGCCAGGTAGCTGAAGCCGGGGGCTAAGGCAAGTGAGACTTGCACAGGTCCCTGAAATGGGGGAGAGTGGTATGAAGGGCAGAGCTTACACAAAGGGCAGTGAGGCACAAGCCCACCTACCAGGGCCTGTGCCAGCATGCTGAGGAACACCTGGTTCCACGTGAATCTTCCTCCTGCACCACGCTGTGTCCTGTGTGGACCGTGCTTGCTGTAAGCCTCATCTCCAACTGCTCACCCTCTGCCTTCTGTGGTGGTTTTACGCAGCCCTCTTCTGCATGACCCCCAGAACTCAGATCCTCTGTCAGTATCCCCTTCCTCCAGCTTCTAAACTAGCAAGTGTCAAGGTCACCCTGGCCCCAGCCACTCCCTTCCTCTGGGTAGGGAAACCCTCAGTGGGAAGAATAAACGGCTTTCAAGCCCCTCTGCGTTTCTCTGGTGTCCTAAGTGGTGCAAACAGTTAATCACTTGGCTCTTAACCGGAAGGTTGGAGGTTTGAGTCTACCCAGAGGTGCCTCGGAAGGAAGGCCTGGTGATTGTCCAAAAGGGCACAGCCATGAAGAGCCTATGGAGCAGTTTTACTCTGACACGTGGGGTCGCCACCGAGTCAGAATCAACTTGACAGCTATTGGTCTGTGTTTCTCTGGAGTGGTCAATCCGGACAGACACATCATCTGCCTGTAAGATGTCTTTGCTCTGGAGGGCAGAGTCCACAAGACAGAAGCCAGACGTGGCTGTTTGAGTTGCTCTAGGCTCTGAGGGAAAAGGGAAGTGGGTAGAGTCCACAGGACAGAAGCCAGAGGCAGCTGTTTGAGTTGCTCTAGGCTCTGAGGGCAAAGGGAAGTTGGGGCTAGGGGCCGAGGCTGGCTGGGTATGGAGAGTGCACACTGTGGTAATGTGTGGAGATGGCCCTCTCCTGCACAAGGCATTGTGGGAACGCAGGTTGGAAGTGTGAACACTCATACCTAGGCAAAGGGGGTCAGCTCTGGACAGCAGAAATACACTTCTTGTATTTATTTAGTTTTGCTTACATTTATCTACTACAATCAATGTCTTATTTGTGTGAAGATTTTTAAAAAATGTTTGAAAAGAAAATATTCACTGACTGTAATTCCATTTTATAATTTAGCTACAAAATGTAGCCAAAGATTTCTACACAGAAATAGCCAAAGGATTGTCTACAAAACATTGAAAATAACCTAAGTGTCCATGAGCAAGGGGTGGAACTGTTAAAAATGATGCTTTTCGAGGAAATTTTGTAGTTTAACATAAAACTGTATACACGGAATGACCCCAAATCCATCTGACAATTGTATATCCAGGTGCAGATGTTCGTGAAAACAGGAGAATTACACCAAAACAGAAGCTGCCATGGGACAGCAGGATTCATTCCCACCACCAACAGTGGCTGTGGAGTTGACTCCGACTCATGGGTCCCCATGTGTGTCAGAGCAGACCTGTGCTCCACAGGGTTTCCTGTGGCTGGTTTTTCAGATGTAGACTGCAGTGGGTGGTTATTTCCTTACAGCACTTAGCTAATTCCATCAGTTTCTACAACGAACGTATACACTCAGAAACATAGGTGACATGTTACTGAAAGGAAGGCCTTTGCCTAACACGTGCTTGTGCTCTCCATTTGCTCAGGCAAGTCGGCGGGAGGGCTGCTCACCTGCCCCTCAGAGGGGTGCACCAACACCCCAACAATGGGTTTTCATGGGTTTATGTTTTGTCTCCTACGAGATTCCTCTAACCCTTTGCTGTAAAGTTGATTCTGACTCACAGGGACCCTGTAGGACAGAGTAGAACTGCCCCATAGGGTTTCCAAGGAGCAGCTGGTGGATTCGAACTGCCGACCTTCTGGTTAGCAGCCATAGCTCTCAACCACTGTGCCACCAGGGCTCCTAGGAACCTGAAATTTTATCATCTGTCTCACCCACTCTGCTAGGCTCCTACAAGGGGCTGGGAGACCGAGGAAGTGGCCTGGCAGCCTCAAGGAGGCTTCTGTTTGTGGAGGAGGAGTATGCAGGAGACACCACCTGGGATGAGCCTGGGGACCTCTCGCAGACCAACTGGCATGTTCCACATATGCCACTCAGCTTGAACTTCCCATAATCAACTTATCCCTTCACTGAGAGAGTGACCATCAGATGCTTGCCTGCGAGGCCCCAGGTGCAGAGTGGTGAACAAAGTGTACATGTTCCTGTGCTCCCTGGGGCTTAATCTGCGGGAAGACAACAGGTAACCCAGAATATCCGACAGGGTGCTCAGAGAGAACAGGAGTGGGGGCCCCGCCATTAAAACAGGACTCACAGTTCAAGGAGGTGGAGGACACTCTAGCAGAGGGGTGGCAAGTATGAGGGCCCTGAGGCAGAGGAGACATCAGTGCATGGGGCTGGTGTGAACCAGCAGTGATGAGGGCAAGATGGGGTTGAGAGGTGGGGGGGCCTAACGCCTAGGAAGGAGTCTGGGTAGTGTTCTAAGTGTGTGGGGCTGCCATGAAAGGGTGTAATAAGACCACTCTGGCAGCTGGGTGGCAAATGGGCCAGGAACTCTAAGTGTGTTACGATGTTAGCTCACATAATCCTCCTGATAGATCTCAGAGGTGGATTCTGCTCCTGTGCCCAATTCCTAGTGGAGGAAACCAGGCTCCCGAGCCACCAGCTGACATGGATGGACAGAGCAAGGGGGTGTGTCCAGGCTGGCTGAGGACTCAGACTGCTGTTACAACTCACACGAGAGGTGAGGATGGCTCAAAGGATATGGGGAGAGGTAGACAGGCTCTAGGGATGCTCAGGGGGTGCAGTAGGCATGACCTGATGTTGGGTCTGGCATGGGGTGAGGGAGAATCAGGGACCAGGTTTCTGTCCTGAGCAAGTGGGCGGCTCTTGCTGTGCTGTGTTCCAGCCGCCTGGAAACCATGTGTCTTGAGTAAGTATGACTTGGGGAGGCTGGTGAACCTAAGTCTTACCCAGGTTGCTGTCGATCTTCTGGTGATAGGCGCGAAGATGCGGGTTCTTGGGGTAAGCGTCAGAACTGACAGCAGCACTAGCCACTCCGGGGATGGAGTCTGATTTTAAAAAGAAACACCAAGAGAACAGTTAACTGATGCCTTTTGAAATACTGGTTCACAAAACTAATCTTAATCTGGAAAATGAGTGGATGAAATGAGTGGTCCTGAGGCTATCTGATGAGACAAGTATGGATATAAATATATGGATAAACATACTAGGAACGGGAACAGGCTGGCCTGGCCGGAGGAGAAATGTCCACGGACAAGTCAGGATTCCAGCCCTTTAGAGATCACAGAACCGGACACCTAGGTCACCTGGTCAGATGCTGGAACAAGCTCCAAAAAGAGATACAGATCCATACAAGTAATGAGACAGCAGTGGAACTGCAAAAATGAAAACCTGCCAGGCTCAGTGGACAAAGTCTGGAGAATAAAGCTTAAAACTAAAAATTGCTGTTAAGGAAATGAGATTAGCGGTGATCTTTTTCTTCTTGAAATCTATTTCTATTGCTATGCTGTCTTTTCACTTAAAACAAAACAAATAAAAGAAGTATTGTATACAATACACATTTGCCCTAAGAAAGCTTCCTGGAACTTTGGTTTCTAAATGCACACAGAAAATCTATTTCTGTCATCATGGTTTACATTTTTTTTGGGTGTCTTAGTTATCTAGTGCTGCTGTAAGAGACATGCCACAAATGGGTGGCTTTAAGAAACAGAAATTCATTCTCTCATAGTTTAGGAGGCTAGAAGTCCAAATTCAGGGTGCCGGCTTTAGGGGAAGGCTTTCTCTGTTGGCTGTGGGGGAAGGTCCTCATTCCTTGGCTTTTTGGTAATCTTCATATAGAATGGCATCTATATTCTCCCATCTCTGCTCCTTCACTTGTTTAATCTTTTTTATATCTCAAAAGAGATTGACTCAAAACATACCTTACACTAATCCTGCCTCATTAACATAAAAAAGACAATCCATACCCAAATGGGATTATAACCACAGGCAGAGAGGTTAGGATTTACAATACATGTTTTTGAGGGACACAATTCAATTCATAACTGGAGGGGAAGGGGATCTCTTTTTAAACTTAGTGCATTTCCTGAAGCACCAATCCACTGAGTCCATTCTGCACAAACAGTGTCAACTTTGTTTTGACTCTCTGAAGTTAATACAAAAAAACCAAAACTAAACCAGCTGCCATGGAGTCGATTCAGACTCACAGTGACGTCATGTGTGTCAAGGTGGAACTGTGCACCATAGGGTTTTGAATGGCTGATTTTTTGGAAGTAGACTGCCACACCTCTGGGTGGACTCAACCTGTCAGTTAGTAGTCAAGCACATAATCGTTTGCACCATCCAGTGACTCCAAAGTTAATACACACCACACCAACTAAAGCTTCCTTTAATTCCCTAAAATCACGTCTTTCAAGGTACATGGCTGTGATGTCATTTCTCCAGAGAATGACAAGGGCAGGTTTTCCTGAGCCATGAACATTTTTGCCTATTGTCTCCTCTCGTCGTTTTCACCTGAACTGCACCAATTTCAGTCTTTGCTGACCCCCATCTCTTCCTCCATCAGGTCTTAGCTGTGTCAACCAGGACAAGGGTGGGTTCCAGCTCTTGAAGAGTGCATCCTTGAAGGTAGCACACAAGCATTTAGTTTGCTTACTGTTAGTTAGATATGCCCTAGCTCTCTAGAGGCCTACAGAAGCACCCAGAAGGGCTAACTTCCTTTCCAGGTGTATTTAAGAGCTCGGCTGCTAACCAAAAGGTTGGCAGTTTGAATCCACCAGCCGCTCCTTGGAAACCCTATCGGGCAGTTCCACTCTGTCCTATAGGGTTGCTATGAGTTGTAACTGACTCAATGGCAACAGGTTTGGTTTTTTGGGTTTTATACCTGTGGTTATAATCCCATTTGGGAATGGGTTTTTTGTTATGTCAATGAAATAATATTAGCATAAGGTGTGTTTTAAGTCAATCTTGTTTGAGATATAAAATAGACTGAACAAGCGAGTGAGTCAAGTAGAGATGGAGGAAGACAGATGTCACATAACATGAAGATAACCAAGAAGCCAAAGAATAAATTTGAAGAGACAAAGACCTTCCTCCAGAGTCAAAAGCAGAGAAAAACTTCCTCCAGAGCCAGACTTCTAGTCGCCTAAACTGTGAGAGGATACATTTCTGTTTGTTAAAGCCACCCATTTGTGGTATTTCTGTTATAGCAGCTCTAGATAACTAAGACAGAATTTGGTACCAGGACTGGGGTCCTGCACTAACAAATACCTAAAATATGGAAGTGGTTTTGGAATTGGTAATGGGTGGAGGCTGGAAGAATTTTTAAGGTGCCTAATAGTAAAAGCCCCCATGCATCTGTCAGTCGGTCATACTGTGGGGGCTTCCGTGTTGCTCTGATGTTGGAAGCTATGCCACCAGTATTCAAATACCAGCAGGGTCACACATGGTGGATGGGTTTCAGCTGAAGAACCTGGTGGTCTACTTGCGAGAAAAATTAGCCAGTGAAAACATTATGAATAGCAGTGGAACATTGTATGATATTGTGCCAGAAGATGAAGCCCAGGGGTTGGAAGGCACTCAAAATATGACTGGGGAAGAGTTGCCTCCTCAAAGTAGAGTCGACCTTAATGGTGTGGAAGGAGTCAAGCTTTCGGGACCTTCATCTGCTGATGTGGCACGACTCAACATGAAAACAAACAGCTGCAAACATCCATTAAGAATTGGAACGTGGAACATATGAAGTATGAATCTATGAAAATTGGAAATCGTCAAAAATGAAATGGAATGCGTAAACATCAATATCCTAGGTATTAGTGAGCTGAAATGGACTGGTATTGGCCATTTTGAATCAGACACTCATACGGTCTACTATGCCGGAAATGACAAATTGAAGAGGAATGGCATTGTATTCATTGTCAACACTGGTGGCGGAGTGCCTAAGAGTCTGGCTGCTAACCAAAAGGTCAGCAGTTCGAATTGACCAGGCGCTCCCTGGAAACCCTATGGGGCAGTTCTACTCTGTCCTATAGGGTCACTATGAGTTGGAACCGACTTGACTGCAATGGGTTTGGTTTTAGTTTTATGCTGAAGTACAATGCTGTCGGTGATAGGATAATATCATATGCCTCCAAGGAAGACCAGTTAATACCACTGTTATCCAAATTTATGCACCAACCACCAAGGCCAAAGATGAAGAAACTGGAGATTTTTACCAACTTCTGCAGTCTGAAATTGATCGAACATGCAATCAGGATGCATTGATAATTACTGGTGATTGGAATGCAAAAATTGGAAACAAAGAAGAAGGATCCATAGTTGGAAAATATGGCCTTGGTGATAGAAACAATGCTGGAGATTGCATGACAGAATTTTGCAAGACCAATGACTTCTTCATTGTAAATGTCTTTTTTCAACAACATCAACGGTGACTATACACGTGGACCTTGCCAGATGGAATACACAGGAATCAAACAAACTACATCTGTCGAAAGGGACGATGAAGAAGCTCAATATCATCAGTCAGAACAAGGCCAGGGGCTGACTGTGGAACAGACCATCAATTGTTCATATGCAAGTTCAAGCTGAAGCTGAAGAAAATTAGAACAAGTCCACGAGAGCCAAAGTACGACCTTGAGTATATCCCACCTGAATTTAGAGACCATCCAAAGAATAGATTTGATGCATTGAACGCTAATGACCTTAGACCAGACAAGTTGTGGAATGACATCAAGGACATCATACACAAAGAAAGCAAGAGGTTATTTAAAAATAGGAAAGAAAGAAAAGAAGAAAATAGATGTCAGAAGAGACTCTGAAACTTGCTTTTGAATGTAGAGTAGCTAAAGCGAATGGAAGAAATGATGAAGTAAAAGAGCTGAAAAGAAGATTCCAAAGGGTGGCTCGAGAAGACAAAGATAAAGTATTATAATGACATGTGCAAATTAGAAAACCAAAAGGGAAGAACATGCTCAGCATTTCACAGGCTGAAAGAATTGAAGAAAAAAATTCAAGCCTCAAGTTGCAATAGTGAAGGATTCTATGGGCAATTTTGAATGATACAGGAAGCATCAAAAGAAGATGGAAGGCATACACAGAGTCACTGTACCAAAAAGAATTGGTCAACGTTCAGTCATTTCAGAAGGTAGCATATGATTTAAGAATTGATGATACTGAAGGAAGAAATCCAAACTGCACTGAAGACACTGGCGAAAAACAAGGCTTCAGGAACTGACCGAATACCAATTGAGATGTTTCAACAAACGGATGCAGTGCTGGAGGTGCTCACTCATCTATGCCAAAAAATTTGGAAGACAGCTACCTTGACAATCGACTGGAAGAGATCCATATTTATGCTTATTCCAAAAAAAGGTGATCCAACCGAATGCAGAGATTATCGAACAATATCATTAATATCATATGCAAGTAAAATTTTATGGAAGATCGTTCAAAAGCAGTTGCAGCAGTACATTGACAGGGAACTGCCAGAAATTCAAGACAGATTCAGAAGAGGACATGGAACAAGGGATATCACTGCTGATGTCAGATGGATCCTGGCTGAAAGCAGAGAATACCTAAAAGATGTTTACCTGTTTCATTGACTATGCAAAGGCATTCGACTGTCTGGATCATAATAAATTACGGATAACATTTCGAAGAATGGGAATTCCAAAACACTTAATTGTGCTCATGAGGAATCTGTACATAGATCAAGAGGCAGTCATTCAAACAGAATAAGATACTGTGTGGTTTAGTCAGGAAAGGTGTGTGTCAGGGTTGTATCCTTTCACCATACTTATACCATCTGTATGCTGAGCAAATAAACCAAGAAGCTGGACTGCATTAGCTAGAATGGGGCATCAAGACTGGAGGAACTCATTAACAACCTGCGATATGCAGATGACACAACCTTCCTTGCTGAAAGTGGAGCGGACTTGGAATACTTACTGATAAAGACCAAAGACTACAGCCTTCAGTATGGATTACACCTCAATATAAAGAAAACAAAAATCCTCACAACTGGACCAATAAGCAACATCATGATAAACAGAGAAAAGATTGAAATTGTCAAGGATTTCATTTTACTTGGATCCGCAATCAATGCCCATGGAAGCAGCAGTCAAGAAATGAAATAACACTTTGCATCGGGCAAATGTGCTGCAAAAGACCTTTCTAAAGTGTTAAAAAGCAAAGACGTCACCTTTGTAAGGACTAAGGTGCGCCTGACCCAAGCCATGGTGTTTTCAATCACCTCATATGCACGTGAAAGCTGGGCAATGAACAAGGCAGGCAAAGAAGAATTGATGCCTTTGAATTGTGGTGTTGGCAAAGAATACTGAATATACCACGGACTGCCAAAAGAACAAACAAATCTGTCTTGGAAGAAATACAGCCAGAATGCTCCTTAGAAGCAAGGATGGCGAGACTCCGTCTCATATACTTTGGACGTGTTATCAGGAAGGATTAGTCCCCGGAGAAGGACATCATCTTTGGTAAAGTAGAGTCAACAAAAAAGAGGAAGACCCTTGATGGGATGGATCGTCACAGAGGTTGCAACAATGGGATCAAGCATAACAATGACTGTGAGGACAGTGCAGGACCCGGCAGTGTTTCATTCTGTTGTACAAAGGGTCACTATGAGTAGGAAGCGACTCGACGGCACCTAACAACAACAGTAAAAGACTAGAGCGCCGTGAAGAGACTGTTGGTAGAATTACCGACATCAAAGGCAATTCTGTTGAGGGCTAAGAAGGAAGTGAGACAGCCATAAAGAAAGCTTCTGTCCTCTTGGAGAATACATATGGCACCATCAACAGAATGTTGCTAGACATGTGGACATTAAATGTGCTTTTGGTGAGGCTTTAAAAGAAAATAATGAACATGCGATTGGACAATGGAAGAAGGGCAATGCTTCTCATGTGGTGGCAAAGAACTTGTCTGAATTATGTTCAAATATTTTGTGGAAGGCAGAACTTGTAAGTGATGAACTTGGATATCTGGGTGAGCAAGATCTTAAAGAGGCTGAGTGGTTTCTCCTTGCTGCTAATAGTAAGATGTGAAAGGAAAGAGACGAACTTGAAAATGAACTGTGCAAAACGAAAACAAAGATTTGGAAAATTCTGTAGCAAAGTAAGGACAAGTGTCCTAGAATTTTCACCGAGAACATGGCTATACAATCTTTCATTAAAGAGATTAAGCCTGTGACTGATGGATCTAACCAACTACCACAGCAGAAAACCCATCAGCTTATACTGAAGGGGACAGAGACAGAAAGCTTTTTCCTAGAGCTGGTGTCCTGAATTTGGACTTCTAGCCTCCTAACTGTGAGAAAATAAATTTGTTTCTTAAAGCCACCCACTCGTGGTATTTCTGTTATAGCAGCACGACGTAACTCAGGTACCAGGTAAAGGATGCTTCTGTGCATACCATTTGATATTACTAAAATGATTTGACACAAACACATTCTATCTTGCACACCTGTTCACTCTGCTGACTCTCTATCCACTCAGGCTTAGGGCTGTTATTAGTTCCTGTTGCTGCTGTTAACAAATGACCACAAACTTAGCTTCTAGTTTTGGAGATTCGAAGTCCCACACGGGTCTCACTGGGCTAAGATCAAGGTGTCAGCAGGGCTGTCCCTTCTGAAAGCTCTAGGGGAGAATCCATTTCTTTGCATTTTCCACCTTCTAGAGGCCACCTGCATTCCCTGGCTCGTGGTCCCGTCTTCCATCTTCAAAGCTAGCAGTGTAGCATCTTCAAATCTCTCTGACTTTCTTCTGTTTCCGTCTTCCACTTATGAAGGGGTGATTGTGATTATGTTGGTCCTACCCGGATAATCCAGGATCCTCTCTCCATCTAAGGGTCAGCTGATTGGCATCCTTCATTCATCTGCAGCCTTCATTCCTATTTTGCCATGTAACCTCACACATTCACAGGTTCTGGGGATTAGGATGTAGACATCTTTTGGACATTATTCTACCTACCACAGGGGTTTCCTGCAGTTGGCATTTCACTACCCAAAGAGCTCAGAGCTACATGAGGCAGGAACTGATGGTGGGCAGGCTCATCTTCAATGGGACACAGGCCCCCACTTCCTTATTCCTCCTTCCTTGGGAGGGGGAGGAATGAGCCCCACTTTAATACACACTCTCAGTAACTTGCACTTGGTGCTGCATCCCTAATGTCCTGTACCCAGCACGTGTGTGACAGCAGCTGGGGCCCCTGCCTCATTCAGGGCCAACACCAATCCCCACAGAGTCCAAAGGCAGGTGTGAGTGCAGGTCTCCACTAACCTGAATCGTCCAGCTTTCTGAGGTTTGGGTGGCTGGCCTGGTACTTTGACTCCTGTTCTTTACTTGTTGTTATGGCTTCTTTCAATCTTTAGATAAAAGTTAAGAAAAAAGAAAAATTTTAAAAAGGAAAAGTACTTATCACAGTGCTGTCAGTCTTTTCACGTAATGCCCGTATGTAGAAAATCAAATACCTTCTCTGTACTAAGCGCCTTCTGACCAAAACTGGTGGTATTTTGACAGTAGCTCCTGGGAGCCTCATCTTCCTGTATAGTAAGCTTACAAAGATGTCAGCCTTAGAAGTTTAGCATTTAACTAGATAGCCCTTTCTTGTGAAAAGTCCTAGGACCAGGCAGAAGAAAAGTACGTGCCTCGACAAAATGGGTACTTTAGACCAAGGGTTGGCAAACCATGACCACAGGCCCAATGTGACCCACAGCCCATTTTTGTACAGCCTTTAAGATGACCATTTGTAAGTGCTTAGATGATAGGGAATGTGAACTCTGACCCTCAATGATTTCATTCCTCTCATTAGCGAGTCTATACTATTAAAAAATTGCACTCAATTATTATTATATTTTGAATTCTGTCACTAAAAATTTGTGAAAATTTGTTTTCTTGTTATATAAAAAACCAAAACCAAACCAGTTGCCGAGTTGATTCCCACTCATGGCAACTCTATGTGTGTCAGAGTAGAACTGTGCTCCATAGGGTTTTCAAGAGCTGATTTCATCCGAAGTAGATCACCAGGCTTTTCTTCCAGCACACCTCTGAGTGGACTCAAGCCGCCAACCTCTTCCTTAACAGTGGAACATTTAATCATTTGTGCCACCCAGGGCTCTCTTGTTATGTAAGTACCTAAACAGCTTTGATTTTGCTTCCGGGCCCTCAGCCTAATAGATTTATTATGTGGCCTTTTGCAGAGAAAGTTTGCCAGTCTCTGATGTAGACAAGCACTTCTCTTTGCAGAGATGTTGAGACGTTCAGACCATACCCAGCAAACACTGAATCCCCGCCACAGCTGGGGTGCTACACAGCCTGCTCCTCTCCATCAGCCACTTCATCAGTCAAACTGGGAATCCCCTCTGCACAGCTCCACCCCAGCAATCTAGGCCAAAGAAGTCCCTTTGGTCCCAGAAATGCGGCTCCTCCTTCCAATCCCTTCTGCCCTGCCTTGCTGACCCTTACATGGGGTTAGGGCAAAATGAGCATCCACTTTCCAGTCTTGATTCCACATGGCTTCTGGCATCTTTCTAAAACCTGATGACCTGCACTTCTCCCGGTCTGGGTCTTTAACGGCTCCCACCCCTTAGGAGGAAGTCCAGGCTCCTGCAGTGAATGGTGTGCAAATGCCCAGTGCTCCAGCTACATGCAGAATGTAGCAGCACCTTGGGACAGCTAAGGACTTAACGCTTGTGGCTTTAATTGCTCAGAAGCAATCATGGAGGGTCTAGAACATGCCAATTTCTCCAAGAATGAAAGTGAGCCCCGTGTGTTACCAGGCTGGGTATGAGAGGGAGATGCTTGCTTCTAAGTCTGCCTGGTGACCACCTAGCCTGCACCCCTCACAGCCAGCTTCATTTTGTCTCTGTGCTCTCATGTACATAGTAATACTTAAATGATGTAACTTGGTTTCTCTGTGAAAAATGTACCTGCCTCAAAAAAAAAAAAAAAAAAAAAGCCAATTTCTAGGGCCAGTGATAGAAGTGATAAGAAAGGGAAGAGTCTAAGAAAGTGATGGTGCTTGGCCAGAAACTACGTCCTGAATAAATTAGAAAAGTTAAAATTTAGGGGTGGTTTAAATCTATGGCACAAATGGATCTCCTGGGTGCTTTAAATGGAAATGAGAACCAGCACTTTATGGTGCTGTGTCAGCAAGAACAAAAATTGCTCACCAAGAGACAAATAAAACTTTCAGGTTTGTGCGGTAAGGACATACACAGGAAATGCATGACTGAGCAGAAGCTTAAATGAGGAGAAACTTGTTTTAAAAGCTTCATAAATGACAGCATTCCTGTATTTATGAGTTAATAAAGGATTGTGACAGTATCACAAAAATTTTAGTCACAATTTACTGCATAATTTTACAGAAGCAATTATACATTGTAGTGATGTTTGCAAATTTAGGGACTTTTAAGAGATGGCAGGCCATATCTCACCTCCATGTCAAGAGTGTGCTGGACTCCTCCCTCTTGAGAGAGAGCTGACACCTTCCCAATCCCTGCTCCTCATGTTTTATCTGTCTGGGTTTTGCACCTGTTTCCCCTTCCTCAATGGCAGCCTACTCCACCTTGACTCCAGCACAAGGCCAGTACGTCCTCTGGAACGCCTTCCTTGGCCCCAGGCAAAGCCCTATACCAGGCTTCCACTCTGCTTCCCAGCCTGCCCCACATCTTCCAGCGAATGGACTGCACCACCGCAGCTGTGTCTGTCAGAGGCAGGTAAAGGAACACATGCAACAGTGCTTAGCTTGCAGTGACCACAAAGCTGCACAGACCCCCTTCAGGGCACATCTAAGCAGCCACTCAATGAGTGTCAGTTGCTTCATTTCAGGCAGTTTTGTGTCCCTGCATTTACTAAGTGATGTCATGGAGGGCAAGGATTCCACCAATGAACCGTCACTGCCCTCATTTGTATACTAAAAAAAAAGAAAAAGTCCAATTAAGGGGAAAAAGTGACAGATATCTGAAATTAGGTTAAACTGGAAAACCTGGGATGAATGCTGATTACGGCTTAGCCAAAAATCCCACTTCATAACGCTGGCTGATGCATCCACAAGAAACAACCCCTCTGCCACCATCTGCTCCCCTTCCTGGGGTTTCCTCTCTGTAAGCCTCAATGACTTCACCTCTCTGCTCTTTCTGCCACCACCACCGGTGCTTTTTCCTACAGTCGTTTCTCCCCAGCCCCACTGTGAGCCTGAAATAGTTTTCTGATTTCTTCCCTATGGCACCTACATCCTGACCAGGGTGGTGGCCATACAGGTTTATGTGCAGGTGAACGGTCATCAACTCTCCATTCTGCTCAGGTGGATTTCTGCTGGTTTGGATCTGAAGTAACTGACAAGCCCTCCCAAACACACTCTTGATGCTGCTGATGTGCTTCTGGCTGGTCTTCAGATCTTCATCCATCTTGCCCACCATCTTCCCATCTTCTCCGTGCGTTCTAAGACTCCTTGCTGACACACAAGTCTATGCACTTTACTGTACATCAGTTATGCATTTTAAAAGTTGCTAAAAAAAATTGCTATTTCAGAATTAAAAAAGAGAGAGAAAGAAAGTGTGTGTACTTGCACGATCGCTATGAAGCCTGAGTAAATAACATTATACCAACCACTTTTCTGGGTTAAATGAAACAATCAGGTTACAAAACCAAATGAATGGTGCCCCTGGGTGGTGCAAATGTTTCACACACTTAACTGCTAAGTGAAAGGTTCATGGTTTGAGCCTACCAAGAGGCACCTTGAAAGAAAGGCCTGGTGATCTACTACCAAAAAATCAACCACTGAAAACCCTACAGAGCACGGTTCTACTCACACACATGGGGTCACCATGAGTTGAAACTGACTTGATGGCAACTGGTATAGAAAAGCGGAATGAGGGAAAAAAGGCTGGAAAGAAACTAAATTTTAAGTTGTGTTATCATGGGTAAAGTGTAGATTTCCCAAAATATGGTTATATTATTATTATTAGGGAGTCCCTGGGTGGTGCAAATGGTTAAGGTGCTTGGCTGCTAACTAAAAGGTTGGAGGTTCGAGCCCACCCAGAGGCGTCAGGGAAGAAAGACATTGTCGATCTGAAATATCAGCCATTGAAAACTCTAGAGAGCACAGTTCTACTCTGACACACAGGGGTCACCACGGGCTGAAGTCAACTTGACTGCAACTGGTACTGGTATTATTATTTGTTGTTTTAAATTATACTTTATTTTTTAGAGCAGTTTTAGGTTTACAGAAAAACTGCAGAAACTTCAGAGAGATCCCTTGCCCTTGCACACTGCTGCTGCATGACCTTTTTAATAAAAAAAAGACACAATAATCTGAGATAAACAGGAAATTTTAGTAGAAACTCAATTCTTTTATCTTTGAACATATGATACTTACATGCCTGCTGAAATCTTATGTATAATTTCATTATATCTCTGATCAAAATTTTTAAGGAAAATATAATTTTAAAATGGAAAGCAGTGGGAGAAGTCAGATTAGATGTAGAAAAGTTGGACATAAAGACTTCATATGCAAAAATTCTGTGAAATGAGTCACATCTGTATCGATTAAGCTGCTAGAGTTGAACACTCTCTCTTTCAAATTACTGGGGTCACAATTACTGGAGCTGGGGCAGTAGTGGCTCAGTGGTAGAATTCATGCCCTCCACGAGAGACCCAGGTTAATTTCTGGCCAATGCACCTCATGTGCAGCAACAAAGCCTGTTGGTGAAGGCCATGCTGAACAGGTTTTAGTGGAGTTTCTAGACTAAGATGGACTAGGAAGAAAGGCCTGGCAATCTACTTCCAAAAAATCAGCCAATGAAGACCTGATGGATCACAATGGTCCAATCCCATTGTGTGTGGGGTCGCCATGAGTGGGGCACTGACTCCACAGCAGCTCACAATTATTGGGGCACTTGTTCACCAGAGGTCTTATTTATGCAGAATTTAATATTGGACTTCAAATCTGGGTGGCTGAAGCCATGCTTACCTACTGTTGGGCTGCGGGGCCAGGATACCATTCTGTTCAGGTGGGGTCTCTGCTGGTTTGGATCTGAAGTAATTGACGAGTCCCCCAAACACACTCTTGATGCTGTTGATGTGCTTCTGGCTGGTCTTCAGATCTTGATCCATTTTGTCCACCATCTTCTCTGTGCGTTCCAAGACTCCTCGCTGACGGATAAGTTCCTTGGGCAACAAGAGAAGGTGGCATTACTCCTTTTTTGTACTTCTCACCCCGTAGAGGACCAGGGAACAACAGGAACTTTATGAACCCTCACAGAGCACGGACGGGAACATATGCTGTCACCTGTGAGGGGCATGCTATGATTTCTGACAACACATTTCCTCTGTCTCTCCCTCCCTGCCCTACCACTCCTTGCTTCCTTTCTTATTGGCTCTTGAGCCCCTTTTCCTCCCTGCCACACAAGAGGATGGCTCAAGGAACCGCATTAATTTAAGATGGATGGAAGTGTGTGCCTGTGGGGGTCAAAGGCCAGGGCCCACGCTGGAGGCAGACCCTTACTAGCCCGTCAGAGCCTTGGTAACCCTCACAGGTTTTGACCTGCCACTGCCTTGAAGACTCTGGTTCTTGTCTTCTTCCTGTTCAGATATGGGAATGCTCACCTGGCCCTGGACATATCTTTTTTTTTTTTTTTATTCCAGCTTACTTATTTATTAAATATTTTGAAGTTTTCAGCATATATATTCTGCAATACTTTTTTTCCATTTTTTTATTGTTGTAGTTTAAATGAAAGTTCATATTTCAAGTTAGTCTCTCATACAAAAATTTATACATACATTGTTATGTGACCCTAATTGCTCTCCCTATAGTGTGACAGCACATTCCTCCTTTCCACCCGATTTCTGTGTCCATTCAACCAGCTCCTGACCCTCTCTGCCTTCTCATCTCACCTCCGGACAGGAGCTGCCCATTTAGTCTCATGTATCTACTTGAGCTAAGAGGCACACTCTTCACAAGTATCATTTTATGTCCCACAGTCCAGTCTAATCTTTGTCTGAAGAGTTGGCCTCGAGAATTGTTTTAGTTCTGGGTTGACAGAGAGTCCGGGGGCCATGCTTTCTGAGGTTCCTCCAGTCTTAGTCAGACCATTGAGTCTGGTCTTTTCACTAGAATTTGAGTTCTGCACCCCACCTTTCTCCTGCTCCATCAGGGACTCTCCGTTGTGTTCCCTGTCAGGGTGGTCATTGGTGGTAGCC